GCGGGATTTGCGCGTTTTGTCGTATTTTGAATCCGAAGGAATGGCTTTACGATCGTCCAGCAGGGCAACTGAGGTTGGTGAAATCCATCGTTTTGTATTTGATTGTGTTCCAGAATTTTCCGTTGTTTTGATGACGTTTGCATCACTTCCTTGATTGTCGTCCAGTGTTCACTGAAACTCATGGCTGATGGTTGAGCTGAAAGGCGATCTGATAGTTCCGCTTCGAAGGCCGATTTGCAACCGTCACTGATACTGTATTGTAGGCATTCACTTTCGGTGGCTTTTCTGCGGTTGTTTACCAGGCGCAGGGAGAATCTCATTTGTAACAGAGCATGGCCCGTGTCCATGGGTGTTGACCAGTAGGAGCGGTAGTCCTCAGTGGATCCACGCCAGCGGTGGCTGATGGCGAGGTGGTCGATTTGAGTCCAGCGCGGCGAAGCGTTTGGTCTCCATATAAGCCGGTATCGTTTCTTGTGTGAGAAGTTCGTGCTTGACAGAAACAAACCGTGGTCAGCGCAAAGTTGAAGAAGCCGTTCTCTGTTGTCAGTCCGGTTAGTTGGGATTGCATGAGAACCACCAAGTAGCCTTTCTGATTCGTCCAGGGATCCCACTTGAGCATTCAAGTCTCCATCGAGTACCACGATGTCCGTTGACCGAGCAGCTGAAAGGTTCTTGTAAAATGTATCCTTCATTTCTGGTGAACTGCAGTCTGCCGGTGCGTACGCGGATACGACGAACAAACGTCAACGTCTTCTTCTGTAGCTGTTGATCCGTACTGAACCATCCAGACGTACGGCGCAAATTTGGCTGTTAACCGGGATCCAATCGAGGAGAGAACGCTCGGCCTTGACACAGCGCAATCCCAACACCAGCAACACCGTGAGTGGAACGTGGACGGGACAGCAACTTATTGGCTGGGGGCTGCCCAGCTTGGGTGGGCGGAAGCTGTCCAATGAAGTGACTTCTCCCGCTGTCGAGAGGAAGCCCCAGGTACCCCGCTCCTACG